ACGGGCCCACGAGTTTGCCCGGCGACACCTGAGGCGGACTCAGAGCCACCAGAAGCAGCAGGATGACCGTCGCGCCAAGGAGGGTGGGTTCGAGCCCGGCCAGGCTGTTTGGCTTTTCACCCCAAAGAAGAAGGTCGGCTGCTCCCCCAAGCTGCAACGGTGGTGGGACGGACCCTTCGCGGTGCTACAACGCCTCAACGACGTGACCTACAAAGTGTAGCGTTGCGCCCGAGCGAAGGCTCAAATCGTGCATCGCAATCGGCTCAAACGCTACCCGGGTGAGGTGCAGCTTGGATGGTGGGAGCGGCGGCGTGTCGAATGGGGAGAATTTAGACACAAGCAGCCAGGGAGGCAGCGCGCTGGCGGAGCCATTGCCGTGTGAGCCGGAGGCGGGGGGAGCACGCGTGACTCGCAAGGGGAGGCGGGTTCGGCACCTGGCGCGATTCTGCTCCACACTAACTCCTGAATCTCCCTCTGTTTCTCTCCCCAAGATGGACCGGTTGGCCTGCCCCCACTGTCGACGGGAATTCCGTCAGCGGACCAATTTGCGGCGACACCTGAGGACGGCTTGTCCAGAGCTGTTTGCCGCCCGGCCCTATACCTGTGAGCGGGGGTGTGGCCGATGCTTCTTCCGCTCAGACATGCGGGATCGGCAAGACCAACACTGCGACCATGTCCTCGTCGGCCAGATCCGGGCGGAGGATCCTGACGTCCCGGAGGTCTACGCCAGTGGCGGGGAGTTGGGGGTGACGAGTTCCCCATGGAGCAGTCACTCCCCCCTGCTGGTCCTCCGGAGGGAGCCACTCGGACCCGCCCCTGGTTGGCTGCCGCGGGTGAGCCCTCGGTGCCGAAGGTGGGGGTCGCGGGGCCAGCCAGAACAACGAGACCAGTCGGACTCGCCTTCCAGTGCGGCCCCGGGCCCTCGGGCCCCTCGGTGGCCACTGCGGCCGGAGCCGCCCCCCTGCGTCGCTCAGTAGGGACGGGGACGCAGACCGAGGTAGAACCCCCAGTCCCAGTTTGGAGTGGGGGCCGTCGGAGTCTGCCCCCCGGCTCGTGGGTGACGTATGCGGGAGGGGTCCGCCTGCAACTGGGGGTGCGAGCCACCCTACAAGAGGAGCGGGCCACCAGAGATGCAGACACCACGATGGATCCACCCCTCCACCACAGCCAGTGGCGGTCGGAGGTCCAACGGGAGCCCCCTGCACCACCCACCGGAGTCCGTCCCCCAGGAGCAACGAAGAAACATCAGGGGGCACCATGGCGACCGGAGTCTCCTCCACACTGGACCCCTGGATCCTCCCCATGGTAGCGGAGAAGACCCTTGGAACCCACCAGACTGTACTCGTTGTTTGGTTTCACTCTTTGTAAGCTGCGCAGGGGCGACCGGGATGGCCTCGGGCTGGCCCGCCGGGTTGCGCCGCCTCGTTCGGGGACGAACAAAAGTCCTCGGAGGGGGTGGTGTAGCGCCGGCAGGTCCGGCCGGTGGGGGCGCCAGCTCGGACCCGCATGGAGTTGGCTGACTGCCCGCGCTGGTTGCGAATGGCCCGCGGTTTTCCCGCCTCGCGCCTGCGCAGTCCCTGCTGTCAGGCGCCATGTTGTGAAGAGCTTGTCGGAAGAGTACATTGTGGTGCTGTCAGATTGCGACAGAATAAAGGAGAGATTTTTGTGAGTTGCACCTGAGTGTCGTTCTTACAGCGTCGAACCCTGTGCAGTGGGACACGCTACAAAATCTTTGGCAAGTGTTGATCCAATTCGATCAAGCAAATTTATGACATGGCCTGCCTGATCGGCCAAACTAAAAAAAAAAAAAGTACGTATCTTTTTGAGTAAAATACAGCAGGCTGGCCTACATATAGGCTGCAACTCATTTCTGTGATCGACCAGCGATGATCAAGAAAGAACTTTTTTTGTTTTTATAGATGACTACACGATGAAGATGCACATTGTGTACATGTACATGCACGCAGACCCATGCATTAATACGCATAAAACCGACACCGTGCAAAGCGCTGTGGATTTGTTGATTTTCAGATTTTTTTGCATAGGCTAGTGGCATCGCTGAAGAAGAACCCCGGATTGAGGGCCATAGCAAAGCTGATGCTTAACAGGTAAGCAATACACAATTTCCGTATGAAACTGTTCTTCAGCATTGATTTATAAATATGCAAGAAGCTACGTCACAACCAAAGATTGTATAGCGCCGCTCCGCGGCGCAAGATGGGCAACTCTCCACTGAAACGCGTAATCGCCATGGGCGCCATTTTGGTGTGATATTGCGCCACAGTATATGCGCGTTTCTGGGCGGCGCTCTGTGTATGCATGGATCGCGAAGCACAATGTCGTCAACGTGTGCAGCCATCAACCATTTTTCTCCTCCAGGTCTATGCATCAACAGCAAAAGCAGGTTCAAGAAAAGCTCGGAACTATCATTCTCATATTTTCCCAAGAACAAAGAAAGGCAAGAAGTAATTTAAATAGTGCAAAGTGAAATTTACCAAAAAATAGGCATACAATAGCGGCAAAAATCAACACATAGCTCAAGCTAGATTGAGCCCCTAAATTAATGACGTTCATATTTGTAATGAGCCTCTGACCCGTGAATGCATGTACATTGTAATTAGCTTAACATTCTACTAAACACCTAGGCATACACTACAAATATCTACTGGCATATTGGACAAAGGATGAAAACCACACCACCTTCTTTAGGAGTTTTATCAAGCTTTCTTTATTTCACAGACAGTATGGACAGTTAAAACAACAAAAGCGCAGAAACTGCGCTTGAATTTTACTATGTGCTTACATTTTATTTGATGTTTCCATTTCATTACAGATGCCAATTCTAAGTTCAAAACACCCACAGGAAGGATCTTCTGAAGAGAGCCCAATGGTGTCTCTACACAAACTTCTGCCTGTGTTCCAATTATTTTGAACCCAGTCAGTTTACCAATCACCTCCAAACAAGCTGAAATGGAATGAAGTGCCCACAATGTTTGAGGTCCCAAACCCACCAAAACTTGTGACACCTCAACGATAAAAATGAGGATGCTAAAGGAAGCTTGAGCCAGATAGGACATAAAAAAGTCCACTAAAACTGGCCAAAAGAAAATAAATATATACAGATATACGTACATGTATCATTATATATGTGTATATACAATTAAAATTGCCTATCAATCTTTGTCTGTACATTCAAGTTCATCAGTGACTTTGTCATCACACGGACCCATTACACATTACACGTGCCCATTGGCTGAACGCTGAATTTGAGTTAAAGTTAATGGGCAATATGGGGGTTCAGCCAATGGATGCTTGATTTATATATGCATATATGTATTCTTTGACTAAAAAATGTTGCACACGATCATAGTAGATGGTCCCTTAACTGAAGATGGCATTCATCATAGGAAAACCGAAAAAGCTCTGCTCAAGGAAAGAGTCAAAACATCTCGACTGAGAGAGAAAGTGCAACGGCTTCAGAACATCCTCTCACGTATTACCACTCCAGCTGAAATCAGGAGCAACCTCATCAAAGGTGCTCCTCGGTACATGGATGAACCAGCTGTTTTTCTTTGCTTCTCAAATTGACAAATACGCAACTCATCAAGGTGTGTAAATGTTAGAGGTAGAAGATGGTGTTATGCAAAGTAATTTTCTTGTCTCTTGATTCTGAAATTGATTGTATGCGACAAAGGATGCAGTAATGTGAAACTGTACAATACACTTGCAATTTCAGAGGAAAACCATACTTTTTGCTTGATGAAAAAAAGGTCTTTTGTAGTTTTATCAGCCTCATTTCCTTAACTAAGAATACAAGATCAAACTTACATAACTACCTTCTTAGATACATGTCTAAGGATTCAGAGGGGGCCACTGGACATGTAAAATGGTCCTACATTTGATTTTTTGGGGAGTGTGATTCACAAATGCCCATTCGTATGGCATCTAAACTTTCACGAGGTCCCTTTGACAACTTCTCAAAAATTGAGAGTGAATAAGGCAGCACAGGTCTTGTGTCATACCGTTGCAGCAGGCATCTACACTTGTACTTCTCATGGGAAGCTCCCTGCTGAAGCTGCCTACACTTTAGAGTTCGAAAAAATCATTCGATAACTTGTTTGATGCATTTAACAGCAGGACCTGAGATAAGAAGCAGGTTTTGAAGAGACCTATGTCAGACGGAACAAACCATACATCGTTTTTAAGTACTTGTACACCATGGCTTTAAAGTTTGGAAATTGTTGGATTGAAAAATGGTCTGTGTATTAAAGGTATGGATTTTGAATATTTCTTCCCTTCTCCAGCTTTGAAATGACATGAAAACACGTGATAGTGTGAAATTTCTTTAACAGGTAGATTCAACCACGATGTAGTTGAAAATCTTTTTTCAACAATAAAGCGGAAGTGTGGGTTTTGTGACAACCCAACTACATCCCAGGTTAGGTTTGGTGTGTAGCAGGCTCTGATAGATTCATGCTAACATTGAGCTCTCTTTCACAGAGAATAGGGCCCCAACAACACCTGTTACCCACCCTGTTCTTGATACCATCCATAGCTGGTTACCAGTGATGTAAAAGCCTGAGGAGTCATGTTGTTCCTTTTCAGTATGACCAGTGCAGATTGGCTTTGTTGTCACCCGAAGCAATTTTACATAATCCATCCCTCCTGTTTATACACAACAAAGCATGGGATACTACAAAATAAGATTCTGGGTCACTTATGGTGCTGTCACATTCCTTTGTTGACTTCTGTAATCTCTGTGAACAGGTATTCAGAACAGAAACAGATCTTCCACAGAATAACCAGTGCAATTTGTAATGAAAGGTGCCGTGGGGTATCTGCCCTCTGGCGTACGAGAAACATGTATGTAGGGCCTAGGCTACAACTTGTGTTTAAGATTGCTGCATGATCCGACAGCCGCAACCCAGAGAATGTAACCACACAGAACACACCAAAATTCTCCGATTTCATCTCCAACGGTTTTAAGTTGTGATGTTACACATTTGTATTTATGATAAATATAAGTTCCAATCTTAATTGGGGGTAAATATTCACCTTATTGCCCCTTTTTCGTGGATAGAGCCTCCCGCCGCCATATGTCGCGTGTACAAACAGCTCGCAATTTGCACACCAAAATGGCAGATCGTGACTCCATAAAATTAACACATGCGGGATGGTCAGTTCCCCATCTTGCGCCCCTGCACGGCGCTATGCAATCTTTGGTCACAACTGCATCATCTTGGTCTTGCTGGAAAATGTATACAGCGTTTTGGTTAGGGCTGCAGACAGATTTCTTGTTAGCTGGTTCGGCAGTTCAGCCGAACCANCCTTACTGCCCCGTTTTCTTGGATAGAGCTTCCCGCCGCCATATGTCACGTGTACAAACAGCTCGCCATTTGCACACCAAAATGGCAGATCGTGACCTCCATGAAATTAACACATGCGGGATGGTCAGTTCCCCATCTTGCGCCGCTGGGCAGCGCTATATAATCTTTGATGACGACTAGGCATGCGCGCGCCTTTTATAGCTTTCGCACTGCTATGACCACAAAACGCACAAGGCGGAGCCTATGCGCCGCGCTTGCTTAACACACAACTACGCGCCCCCTATCTGCCTCTGTTACTGGGCAGAGCGCCATCTATAACTTTGCACCGTGCCTAGTGACTAGCGCCCTCTTTCACGTCACAGCAATGATATCCAATAAGGTGAATATTACTTAAGTTGTTTTGGTAAAAATCGGGGGAAAGAGTTCTATACATGAAGTTCATTTCACATGTACACCCCGTGTACAAACCCTCTGAGACTGGTCCGAAATATAACATTTTCATTGAAAAAGTTTATACAGTTGACTCTCATTATAAAGAATACTGTCATAACAAAGTGCTGTTATAAAGAACAGATTTCAGGAATCCCAATTTCTTAAATTGTTATGTGTTTCGTTGTTTTTAAACTCCTTTTATAATTAAGTCGTGGTTATTACAAAGTAATTTGTCTAGTCCCTACAACTTTGTTTCAAAGAGAATCGACCGTACTCTGTCATTGCTAAAATGGACTTTCCTGACCTGTGATTTCTGGGAACTAACTGATCCCTCCGCCCCATTTAATGTTGCATTGAAGGCTGGTGCACGGCCAGGGTGAACCTTGCAACATAGGAATGGAGGGGGGGGTGGGGGTGGTCGAAGGGGGGAGGGCACAATCTAAACTACCCGAGTCAATGAAAAATTCTGAAACAACTTATGTTGTAATAATACTTGATTTTTTGTAAAAGAATTTTCTATTGATTCGCGTTGAGTTTGTTTGTTTAAAAAAACCGGGCGGCCAAAAGGGCCAAAATCGGCCAGAAGGGTCAAAATTAATTTTACAAAAAATAAAGTATTATACATCCAAACCAAATTGGTTTCAGAATTTTCCCAAATGATTTGCGTTTAGCTTCGTTGTGAAAAAGTGAAGTAAACTGCTGGCGACCTTTGGTTCGGACATTATTTTTCTTTTTTTTTCAATTATTTCATATTTTTATTTACTGTTTTTATTTTGGGAACTTTTTGGGGTATATTGTTTTCAGATGTTAGTTCTTTATTTTTCAAATTATTTCTGTTATAAATGTTTTAGAGTTTGTTTTACCATTTACATTTTGATATGAAAATGTTGTTCGCCCGTGATTATTTATTTTTGGTGAGATTAATTTTTGTGTCATTTAACTTTAAATTTTGTTTAATTAAATATTTCAATAAGTTGTTTCTCAAATGGTTTTGGTGGTTGCTTTGTGTTTTATTTAGATTTTTGAATAAGAAGATTCTGTTTGCTCGTAATTGTTTATTTTTGGTAAAATTAATTTTGACCCTTTCGGCCGCCCATAGAGAGCATGGCGCTAGATTAAAGGTCAAATAATGTTTTCTGGTCATGTATGAATGTATTTATGTATCACATATTACATACCAACAGTTTCGCCACCTCTTTAAAATATCAGTTCGTTTTCAGTGTGAATCTAGGAAGCTACTACATTTGCTTTCCGTGGTACAAAACAGTACAATATACCACACGAGTTAAGTCGCCACCGTGAGTTAAGTAAGTCGCGGCTGCGAGTTATATTACTGGCAACAACGAAAGAGAAACGCACCGCCGTGAAAGAGAAACGCATCGTGGCCCTAACGGGTTTCCGTACAATTTAACTGTCCTGTATCTATTGATATCCACTATGAAGACTGGATAGGAAATCGCACATTGTTTAGCGCAAAAATGTGCGGCCAAACGATGGAGGCACGCGTTTCAGGAGGGTAATGTGATTCTGTATGCTGCACATTTCTGGTTATGTTGATTATGGACATTTTTTTCTCATTGGACGGCAATTATGCCCCATCAGTCTCCCTTTCAAAACGAGTAAATGATAAACAGAAAATGTAAGAATTAACTGACCATGTTCGTATTTAATAACCCACTCAAAATCGATATTAACCTGTTTTTGTATGTTTGTGTTTTATAAATCAGTTTTCATACCTGTTGTGTACGGTCTAATTGGGGCAATATCTACAAGTTGCTTCGATTCAATCGTGATTTGTTCACTGTGTAAAATGTTGAGATTTCCAAGACCCAGCAAATATAATGTTTAAAACTGTCCACTTGCTTTCTGTCTGATTGCAATGAGGCAAAAACTGAAAACCTCTGAAATAAAATGAAATAATTTTCACTAACTTTTTTAAATCTTAATTTTAATTTGACATACTCACAGGAAAAATTGTACAGAAATTCATTCATATATTGAATACATTTATTGAAAACCGACATGTGGCATACAGAAGTGTGAGAATTTTTTCGGTGAATACATTATGAGTGCAGATGTAACTGAACGGCCAAACTAAGTTACTGCCACTTTCACCACAGACACTCATAAACCAGATAGATAAAACGTGAGTTCACAACTTGACTAAAGATTGACATTCATATTACCTTTTTTTAGAAGTAGAAAAGTCAGTGTTTGCTGAGAAGGAATATTTCTATTATTTAGACAAAGACTCTTTCATTGCGTTCACTGTTAATTTTCCTGTTTGTTATTCCATTCAACAAAAGCTTAAGCTCTCTGCCTATCTTTGTTTCATCGCCTACCATAAAGAGTTCCGACACTCACATTGCATCGTTTGTCACATGATTTCGGTTCAATAAGTCTGCAGATCTGCAGATAGAATAACAAATTTGCAAAGCATTATTAGTAGCAGGGCAACTATAAAACTTTAAGTACACACATAAGGAAATGTAATGGAAATGCTACTGTATTGCTTTAAATATTTTCTTTAGTTTCCTGTGTAACTTATAATTTTATCAATCTTGGTTTGTTGTTCTCAATTGTACTTTAATACAGTTTTACACCTTTGTGGCACAAATTTATACATTTATAATTGGTTAACTGTATGGTATTTTACGGAATCATACAGCCTGCTGATTAAATCTGCAAAGCGCATTGAGTTTTTTTTCTGCTTTTGCATTTATTAATGTTGATCATTTTATTACTATTATCATCTATACTGGGTATACATGAGGATAAACACACCACCATACACGAATCCTTACAGCAAGACTTTTTAAATGAAATTCCCCTACATTCAAAATGATTAGTGACAGATTCAGCATTAAAAATATATTTAAAAAAGATTAATACAAAAATTTGAGAGGGTGTAAGCCACGTGTGCCCCTCTGCATCCACTACCAATTCTGCACGGGTTCAGGCCACCAACAAATTTTTATTGAAAAAATAGCTACCTGTTCCCGGTCTGTTCGCTGTCGCGTTCAAATGTCAGGGATTTGCTGTGCCATATAGGGTGCTATAATCAAGAGGATACTTCAAAAGATCTGCATTTCTATCAGATTCCTGCCAATCTGAAATAAAGAGCGAAATGGGTTCTCTGGATGGCAATTCGCCGCGATACCTGGACTCCAAACTCGCACACACGACTCTGCAGTATTCACTTCAATGTGCGTAGGCCATGTCGGACTAACATTAATACAGTTCCCTGACGTGGCGCACTGTGGACTTTCTATTGCCTTTCGTCTCACAGTAGTGCCAAGCCTTTGAAATGTATCATACCCTGTGAATAGAATCCAAGTTATAAGCAGTGTCGGAAAATGCGATTTTTTTCATGGGCTTCGTCATTTTCGTCAAGAACTTCGATTCAAAATGCTTGTTACTATGGAACTTTACAGCAATATGGCGACGAGTCGAAAGTCGGGTGACAACGTGACTTCGGTGAATAACTTCTGTAGGGAAGTAAGAGCTGCTTTTGAATGCAACGCCATAAAATGTTTAATGCAGTACACAGCACAAGTATGAAAAAAATTGTAAACTAAAAGTATAGAGATGTCACCAAGCCGAGGTGAAATCTCAAACATCTGTCCTATTAAAAAGTATTGTCTTACTTTAGGTATGCAAGTATATTCTAACATTAGCTGAACTAGACTATGGTAATTCCAGAATTCCTACTATTGGGCATAGATAACAAATATATCGCCGCCAATTAAAACTTTGCAGAAATTAATTATACCTAGATATACTGATAATAAATGCCCCGTGTGGATTGTTCGAAAGCAAGTAAATGTACCTTCACTTATACACAACTACATATAATAACTAAATTGGTAGAGATATTGCGACTAGGCTCAAGCCTGTGCATGAAACATCTGTCTCTACGAGCCTTGAGCCGGACCAAGAGGGGGCTCAATGTTCTTAGCAACGGAAGCTCCTTTGGTAGGAACTAAACTTCGCTGGTACACGAACGATTGAGAAAAACACTTGTTACGGTCATATCACTTCTAGCAAAACGTACACCTCTGACCAAAATGGCTCTTTTCAACCAGTGAGGGGGTGCTTCTGTTCAAGACGGATAACAAACCCAGCTAAACTGAAAATTTAAAAGATACTGACCATCCCCCTTGGATGCCCAGTTTTCTGTGTATTTTAGTTCAGTTTAGTTTATTAGATCCGCGATATCTGGCAACCTAACGGCTGAACTATACATCATAACAAAAATTGTACACCTGTCCAATAGAATACTTTTATATAAGAATAATTACATTCATTTTATCATTTAAATCACAAATGATACTTACATACACCACATATACAACACATCAGAAACTAAATAATTGGCACAGTAAAACCACTCCAGGATATATGAATTCCAAATGATGTAGAAAGGAATGGAATTACTTTTAAATCGATTTGTTTTGACCGAACAGTTGTAATACTTCTATTATTTCGTAAATTTCTACCACGACATTCAAACCTAGAAGGATTAAATAATGATTTGGTTCGAGGATTAACCTGGATTTTTTTGGCAAAGTTACGGCCGGGATCTCCCTTCCATTAGCTAATGTGTCTAAACAAAAGGTTGCACAGGCCTCTTCACATTGCAAATAATTTTAGCCGAAATTTGTTTCAAATTAAAGACACATATTCAGAACTGATGATAATAACATAACTATGAGGAATATCGCACTCAGCTCAGGATGGAAGTACAGCCAACGTGGCGCGGTCAGTGTCGTTAGTGCATGTATGCTAGTCCAGTGGGGACTACCCGAAAGGTGACACACGAAAATAAATTAAGTAATTTTTCAAAATACAGAAATTTACTCTGTGTTTACTTTTTTGCGTGAATATTTGGACCAAAAATCCTTTTGTGTGCGAGCACACCCACTGTACCGAGCGTTTGTGTGAACACGTCATGTTCGTTATAGCAGCGTTCCACTAGGCCTATAGCTGTAAAATACAATATGTACAAAAACAGTTCACAAGATCTACTTTATAAAAATACAAAATCCCTCGTCATGCATGAATTGTATTTTGTGTAGATATTCCTATTTTAAAGTTGAATAAACTCAGAAGCATACATTTAATGCATGGGTTGTCTGTATCTAAACCTTGAGTGAACCCATATTTAATCCATCATCGGATGCTAAAGTTGTCAGTAATAAAGTTTACCGATGGACGATTGGATTGTAAACGATATGTCCCACCATACTTTCTTCATCCTGTGTAACACAAGAAAATAAGAAAAAGAAATCTCTTTAAGTTTCTTGAGATGATTGGATAACATTTTATTTTCCTTGTTGCTCAACAAGATATCTTTACTCACCCTTTGGTTATCATAGTAATAATCCTCGTCTCCAGTGACTACAAAAGGTCTAACGAAATCGTGTCGGCCCTGCAAACCCTGTAATTGAAAGAGGAAAAGTTTCCTTCTCATTTTATGATGAAAACATCTTTCTATCAATTATCTGCCGTTGTCCAGTCTGTTCTGGTCTGCCCAGAATAGAAAGCAGCATAATCTATCCCTACGAATCAAGTATTACTGTAATATTACCTGCTGTAAGTAAGGTGAGTGACTCATGACGTTCTTTAGACGCTTCATTCTGATCTCTTCATCCCCGAAGTTAGACATCTCGTACCCACCATCGTGATAGTAAATATCATCATTGTATTCAGACAAGCCATAATTGATTCTTGGAATGCCAGACTTTCTCCAGCTTTGTGTGGAGTAGTGACGACCTGCTTCATAACGATGTCGTGTTACCAAACAGAAACACAGAAGCAGGCCTCCTACTGCAAGCAGTAAGAAAATACAGGCTACAATGATGAGAATGATTTCTAAGGTCGACAGATTATCTGTAATAAAAAGAAGATGGAAGAAAGTAAAATTTAGTGAATGGCATTTAAGTATGACCAGGTATATTACTACCATTGCCTGGTCATCAACATTTAACTGACGTTTGACAAGGTATCATTTTCAATCATGTACACATTATCGTTAATGCAATCTAAAATTTCCTTACCAGTTGCTGGTGGTTTTGTTGCTGTTTCTGTTGTCTCTGATGGAACATCAGTGGGTAGTGAAATTACTTGGTCACAACGTTCACCCGTGAAGGATGTCCCACAGCTTTCAGAAAAAAAAACATGCTATAGCTCAGTCAAACAAACAGTAATTTTTTGTAGCAGGTTGGCATTTTCAGGATGTATGATACAGCCGTGACTCCAATTATTACTTGAAAGCAGCTGGCAGGAGGAAGGGAAATGCAATATTGAGGGTGGTTGAGGCTTAGAACACCTAAATGCCAACTTTGTCGAAGTAGGGTTGCAGGTTATTGAATCTTTTGGATTTTGTAGTCTTTCTTTATTTTAAAACAGTTTCTATTACCTGCAGGTATAGTTGAACATACCCGGGTAGTATCCAGACCTAATGCATGATGTTGCACCAATCCCGCAATAGTCTGGTGGACAATTTTGAGTTGTACTTATGCCTTGAAATGAAATATGAATAAAACTTTATTTCTTCTTTTAGAATTATAATCTTCTGAAATGACCCATTTACAATTAACAAAGAATCTGATAACACTGTCAGAAGATTTTTTTATGTGCTTGGCCTGTCTTTATCATGCATTTAAGACAGGTTCAGGAGAATGGATGTGACTAATGCCCGAGCCACGGTGAGAGCAATATCAGCTGTCCCCTGAGCCGGTCTTAAACGTTAGACGTTAGCTCAAGACCTACATAATTATATGCCTCTTAAGCGGAATTAAAAGAAGTCTCTACATATGATGGATTTCCTGCGATTTTGTTCTGGGAATTTACTTTCATTTTCCGGAACATCACTGTCCATTTTATGGAATATTCCTTGTGCAAATTGTCCACTTCGCACGTGCTTGGCAAGCCACATGCACTTGACCGATCATAATCGATAAAATACTGTCTTGTAACGTGGTACCAGCGCGTGATTCACGCAGCGGGCATTATCACTTCTTAGCAGGCATTATCAAATGTTAATACACAGTCAGGATATAAGTTGTTGCATAGGCAGACTGTCCAATGTATTTATGAATGTTGCTAAGTCCAAACAAATGGCTCCGTTTCTGTAGTGAAATAAGCAGTTTGTTATCAGAAATTGGACATTTAGAAATCTAACAGAATTCAATGAATTTGGTTAATGACAAATCAGTTGAAGCGTTGCTTATAAAGTTGATTGATAGCAGTCTTCCATCAGTTAATTGGTGTTTGGGCGTGGAACACTATGAGAAATTATTGCTATGAGACTTACTAGAGACTTCTATTGCTGAAGGACTGAGGCGAACTGTCACAGTTCCATCAGTTAGTTGGTCAGTAGTTAAAACTCTCCTCACGTCACTTTGTGGAGGAGAATCTGGGTATAGCAACACCATAGAAACAACTAGACTGCCATTTTGAATGCGGAAGCCATTTACAGATAGCACATCACTAGTGGATGGGTCTTCCCTCAGTCGCATCAAGACCTGCACGAAGAAAATAGGAATCTGAAGTAGCCATCAAAGTAGTTTTAATTCTACAACTACTAAAACACTTCGGGTAAACAAGCAATCTTAGTAAATCTGATTTATAGCAACACAATGCAAAAATATGAAGGTACGACATAATGATAATGAAGGTCCAAGGCTGTGACATCAGGCCCCACATCATATAGCTGGTTTGGCTTTATAACACTAAACCTATAAATATACTCGGTATTACAAATCTACTTGCCTTGATGATTTGCTAGTACTGTATATCTTTCAAAGGAAAACATTTCTTTTTAAGTATGTTTACTATGGATGTAATCTAAGGCTATAATATCATTTATCAGTGATAAACTGCCAGCTTTAATTAATCATGTTCATGCAAAAATAAAAAAAAAATTAACATGCCCCAAACAATATTTTCTCTCTGTACACAGAAAAACAGAAACTTACCAGCCGTTCAAAGGTGGTCATTTTTGCTCTGAATGCAGAAGCCCATGGATTTGTATACACCAACCTGTACGTCTCATCCAATACTGTAATTTCTATTACTAGCGAATTTTCACGTTGGTCTGGAAGATAAAATCAGAAAACTGAAAAACTGGATGATCTTTTCTTGGGAGAACAAACAGGCACCTTTGTAACCTTCAAACAAAAATCAAATTAAAGGTCTGACTATATTATGAAACCAAATGTCAAAATTTACACTCTAGTCTTTACCTTCACAAGTAGTTGAATTCATGAAAAAGCCATCATGTACACGACACTGGCATGAGAAATTGCTGTTAGCTGGTACACAGTAACGTCCTGTCGAGTCATCTAAGCACTGGTCCCCATTCAAACACACATTCTCATCTGTAGACAAAAAGCAATACTAGTCACCTGAAGCAGAACTGCCAGCAGTCATCTTCTTTCTCCTGTTTTTAATCAAGTCTAAAACATTTTAATTTCACGAACCTTTACACGTGGGCGTAACATCACTTATGCCACATATTACTAGGTATGTTGCACAACAAACTTAAAGCAATTTCGCTAAACTTACGCACTGCATAAATGCACAACTTGCCCAAAAATAATGGTTTAACCTACACAATAAAATTTAGTTGGTAAAAGTTGCGCAGAACATAGTAAAAATAAATGATTTGACATACTCATTGTGCTAAGCTAAGGCTCATCAGTGCTAAAGTAACGAGTCTTATTATATGAGACAGGTACAGCTTTGTTTAGAATGTAATGAAAAACTTGTTTGGCTGCGAGAGAACTTCCAGAATTGTCCAGTTTTGGCGAGGAAAAGAAAAACTTGTTCAGAATGGTCGGGGGAGTACTTCAACGACTATTTGATGACTGTGAAGGAACAGCCGCTGTAAAGCCGTTACCATCCCTTCCAAGAAATTTGATAGTGATCGAATATTGTGCATATCGTGCAGCAACTGCATTACGTGTAGCAACTGCAATGTATGCTCATTTGTGGCACAAGGCTTGTTCAAAGTTACACGACGTTTCGTGCAACTGACTGTACAGGATCTCGGCAAGACTTACTCGGCCTGAACATGTGTACACATTTATCAATTCCTGTGACTTCTCAAAGAAGCATTCCATACAACAGTGAATTTGTCATGTACATGTACTAAAAGGAAGCTTTACCTTGACAATACATTCCTGATTGACCCAGCGGGCAAACACACTCACAATACTCCTCATCAAAAATGCCTCCATTTGTGCAGCTGGATTGTGATAGTGGGCAGTCTAAATTGAAGAAGATGAATTAACTTGGAGTTATTTATTTTAAATTGAAATGTTTAGCCTTTAAAGTGCTGGCTCAAAATCATACGAAAACTTCAAAAGGCAAGCTTCGTCTGCCACCGTGTTTGAAGTGGCTGACACAAGGGAACAGGTGCAGTATCAGCACCTAATGAACACTAACAGCTGCTACAACAAAAAATGGTGTGGATCTCGTCATGTTCATTATAGCATCACTGTACTGTAGTCAGACAGAGGCAATGGAGTTGTCAAAATTGAAAAATATAAATATGGATCTTCATCTGGCCGGGCAATACCTGTGCTATTTGGTATTCCTGTGATAGTTGAAGTCCCTCTGGTGGTAGGTGTCTCT